ACCCCCCCCCAACCTGAGACTTCCTGCCTCGACTGTGAGCAGAGAAACCCGTCGTCAACAACAACAACAACACTTTATCACAGTTCAAATTAACGTGCGGTGAACACGACCTCTGGCCTTGACCTTTTGACCTCACCGGGTCCACTGGATCACAGGCTCTCTGTCTCGGCGGAGAAACTGAATTTCGCGTCCGGTTTTTCTTCTTTCCTCCTTTCGGGGTCTGTTTTAACCCTTTCATGCATGACGGCCACTACAGTGGACAGCTGTGAAAATGTCATTTTACGATGATAATAAATAGGTTTTGACGGCAGTGTTGCATATAAGCCTCTACGGTGGATTCTCAGGCGTCCACTGTAGAGGCTTATATGCAACACTGCCATCAAAACCTATTCTGCCCTTTTTTTTTTCTTTTTTTTTTTTTTTTTTTTTCCCCTCTTTATCGACTAACTGACGTCTCTCTCTTTCTCATTCTCGTAAGGCGGAGACGTGGTGAAGATAGCGCAGCTAGCTAACATCGCCGGAGGCCAGAGCCGCATCTCGACGCCGGAGACGCCGGTGACGCTGCAGTTCCAGGGCAACAAGTTCACGTTGTCCCCCAGCCAGCTGCGTCAGCTGACGACCGGACAGCCGCTACAGCTCCAAGGTACACTGGGTAAAGACCGTCCCTCCGACCCCTTCACCTGACCTCTGACCTCTCTTAAGTTCCCGTTGAGAACCTCAACCTCAACATCTCTGCGTTCCTCCGATTTTAGGCAACATCCTACAGATCGTGTCGGCTCCTGGGCAGCAGATCATCCGACCGCAGGGCTCCATGGTGATGCAGACCGTACCGCAGACCGCCCCGGCGGCCGCCGCCGCCGCCTCGCCTTCACCGGGCTCGGCTCATTCTGCCCCGCCCGCCGGGCAACAAGGTGAGCGTTTTCAACGACTCTACGAACTAAAATTCGTCTTTAAACGAATAAATAAATGATCGCAGAAAACCCGTTCTGATGATGTCATCGCGACTTCACCGTTGTCGTAGAAACAGAGTCCGAACTAAAACTTGAAAAAAAAGGGCCAGCAGCTTTATTCATGTGGAACCCCCGGTGGTCATGTCGTGTAACTGCATCAAAGTAACTTGAGCCATTTTGTTTTTTTTTTCCAGTGACGACCAACGCCACCTCAGGGTCCGCCAAGGTCACTGCGGCTCACGCTGCGTCTCCGGTGAGTCCGTCCGTCCGTCCGTCCGCGTTTCGTGATGACGAGAAATTCAACGCTAACTTCAAAAAAAACCGTAAACGCAAATAATGTTCCAATCCCCAGGAGTCGTCGGAGGAGAAGAAGGAACATCTCCGTCGCCTGTTCGACGCCAACGAGCGACGCTGCGGTCGCAGGGTGATGTACGGCTCCGACCTGCTCCGCGCCTGCGCTCTGACCTCCGACCCCGGCCGCTCCGCCCTGGGGGCTGGCGCTGGGTGGGCAGAGAGAGCTGCCTCGGAGCCCGCAGGACGTGCGTGGCCACGTGCGCCGCGCTGCGCTCCGCCCTGCTGACGGTGGAGGAGCGCGTCGAGGCGTCCGGCGGTCTCGTCAGGAGGTCCGTACCCTCGGCCCCGGCGATCGTAGATCGTAGATCGGTCACCGCGAACTTACCGCTCCTTTTTCTTTCTTCCAGGCTGGACTGCGTGCGCCCTCCTGCCGTGGCTCCTCCCCCTCACGTGTACGCCCACAACCCTCCGGTGCACCACCGCGTCGAGCAGAAGTCTTTCACCCGTCGGCTGCGATCTGCCTGCGCCCCGCACCGTGCCGACATCCACCAGGTGGCGGCGAAGCGGCTCCTCCACGTCCCCGATCTTCAGCTGATGCAGATGGACTCGGGTGAGTCGAGAGGTTCCTCGACGACGACGACGACGATGATGTCACGTTTGGGTGTGACATCATCGCCCGAGAATCTGAAAGTGATTTTTTTTTTTTTGGGGGTTTGTGCGCTAAAGGGAAACTGGAGGCGCTAGCCATCCTGCTGCAGAAGCTGCGGACCGAAAAGCGCCGCGTCCTGATCTTCACTCAGATGACGAAGATGCTGGACATCCTGGAGGTCTTCCTGGACCACAGACGGCTCACCTACGTCAGGCTGGACGGGAGCTTGACCTGCGAAGAGCGACAGGTACGTTCCGCCCCGCCCGCGCGCGTTTGGTGTCGCGAAGGATCGACCGTTTCTCCTCCAGGATTTCGGTTTTTTGATTTGCGTTTTTTTTTTCGTTTTCCCCGTTTCCCCCCCCGTAGGAGAACATCAACAGGTTCAACCGGAACAGGCGGATCTTCTGCAGCATCCTGACCAACGGCTGCTGCTCGGCGGTGCACGCCACGCTCAACGCCGACACCGTCATCTTCTACGACGCCGACCTCAACCCCAGCATGGACGCCCGCACGCAGAAGTGGTGCGACAAGATCGGACGCTCCAAGGACGTCCACATCTACAGGTCCGATACAAAAACGGAAAAAACAAGAAATGTCGTCGTCGTCCGCCGCCGCGCTGACCTTTGCCCTTTGCCCCTTTCAGGTTAGAGAGCGGGAACTCCATCGAAGAGAAGCTGCTGAAGAACGGCACCAAAGACCTGATCAGAGAGGTGGCGGCTCAGGGCACCGACTACTCCTTGGCGTTCCTCACTCAGGTACGTGATCGCGACGAGAACGTCGGAAGCGAGAGAGAGAGATAGAGAGAGAGGAGTGACGGAGTGACGGGGCCGTCGTCAACCCCTGTCCTGTTCCGTTTCCCAGAGGACCATCCAGGATCTGTTCGAGGGCGAGGCGGGTTCGGGCGAGAAGGTGGAGGAGTTCGTGGTCCTCCACCAGGAGCCGTCGGCCGCCGAGACCATCTCTCCCCGAGTGGCCCGACCGTACGTCCAAGCGCTGCAGAGCATAAATCTGGACGCTCTGTCGGAGGAGGAGGAGGAAGAGGAGCATCGGGAGGAGGAAGAGGAGGAGGAGGAAGAAGAGGAGGAGGACGGAAACCAGGACCAGGTGGAGCAACTGAATGCGGTCATGGAGCAGGTAGGAAACGAATGAAAGGAAGGCATTAACGCTAAACAAGCTAACCTGTGACATCATCGTGACATCATCATCCTCTTCCTCCTCCAGCTGACACCGATAGAACGATACGCCCTGCACTACCTGGAGTACCTCCACGTCAGTGACGACGAAACGGCCCTGAAGGTAACTGACGGACACCATCGTTGGACACGTTGGACGGTGGACCAAAAAAAAAAAAAAAAAAAAAAATTTTTTTTTTTTTTTTTTTTTCTTTTTCTTTTCTCCTCCTTCAGGAGCGTCTGGAGTTTTCCAAGAGACACTGGGAGCTGCAGCAGCTGCAGAGGCTGAAGGAGGAGGAGGAGGAGGAGGAGGAGGTGCTGGAAGGAGGAGGCGCAGAGCTGTTCACCTACACCAGAGAGGACGCCTACAACATGGTAGCTGTCCCTTTAAGTCTGACCGACCCTGTCTGTGTCTGTCTGTGTCTGTGTCTGTGTCTGTGTCTGTGTCTGTCTGTGTCTGTGTCTGTCTGTGTCTCTGACATGATGACGTTCATGACGCCCACCTCTGTGTCTGTCTGTGTCTCTGTCTGTGTGTGTCTGTGAGATGATGACGTTCATGACGCCGACCTCTGTCTGTGTCTGTCTGTGTCTGTATCTGTGTGTGTCTGTCTGTCTGTGTCTGTCTCTGTGTCTGTGTTTGTGTCTGTGTCTGTGAGATGATGACGTTCATGACGCCGACCTCTGTCTGTGTCTGTCTGTGTCTCTGTCTGTCTGTGTCTGTGAGATGATGACGTTCATGACGCCGACCTCTGTCTGTGTCTGTCTGTGTCTGTCTCTGTCTGTCTGTGTCTGTATCTGTGTGTGTCTGTCTGTCTGTGTCTGTCTCTGTGTCTGTGTTTGTGTCTGTGTCTGTGGGATGATGACGTTCATGACGCCGACCTCTGTCTGTGTCTGTCTGTGTCTCTGTCTGTCTGTGTCTGTGAGATGATGACGTTCATGACGCCGACCTCTGTCTGTGTCTGTGTCTCTGTCTGTCTGTCTGTCTCTGTCTGTGTCTGTGACATGATGACGTTCATGACGCCGACCTCTGTCTGTGACTATCTGTCTGTCTGTGACATGATGATGTTCGTGACGCCCGACCTCTGTCTGTCTTTGTCCAGGAATACGTGTTCGATGCCGAGGACGGTCACCGAGAAATCATGCCGGTCAGTTTTTGAATTTTGAACTCTCTGAATTCAGACCACTTTTGAATTTGATTGAATTGCGATTTGAACTTTGACCCCCTTCCCCCCCCCCCCCCCCCCCCCCCCCCACTCTCCCCCCCCCAGGACGACAACGACATTTACATCGACTCCGTCATGATGCTCATGTACGACACCGCGCCGATGCCCGAGTCCAAGCTGCCGCCCGTCTACGTCCGCAAGGAGCACAAGAGGCTGAAGATGGACCCGGCAGGTGGGCGGAGACCGAGACCTAGCGCCACTTCCTGTTTGAGTTACGCATACGCATGCGGTCGTTGTGTCTGAACGTGAACGTGAATGTGTTTTTTTCCCCGCCCGCAGCAGCCAGGAAGAAGAAGAAAGGCCACGGAGAGACGGTCATCCCGCCGCGCTCGCTGTTCGAGAAGGCTAGCATGTTGAAGGTCCGCCGCGAGGTCAAAGACCAGAAGAAGAACTTCTCCCTGAAGCAGCAGGCGCCGTTCGCCAAACCCCTGCCCTCGCTGGTCAAGCCGGCCGTAGAGGCCGGTCAGGACAGTCCGGAGTGGCTCATCAGCGAGGACTGGGCTCTGCTCCAGGTACGTCCGGTATACGATGCCGGTATACGGCGGTATACGGCGTCCGCTTGGAAACGCTTTCGTTTCGGCTTCTCGTATCCACCGTTTGTGTCTCTACCGACAGGCGGTCAAGCAGCTGCTGGAGCTGCCGCTCAACCTGACCATCGTGTCGCCGGCCCACACGCCCAACTGGGACCTGGTCAGCGACGTGGTCAACTCCTGCAGCCGGATATACCGCTCGCCCAAGCAGTGTCGCAACCGCTACGAGAACGTCATCATCCCCAGAGAGGAGGGCAAGGTAACAAACCCCCGACCTCCGGACTAGTCCATGAAACTGGTCCATGTTTGGGTCTAAAGGACCTCACGACTGGTCGATGAAACTGGTCCATGTTTGGGTCTAAAAAAAAAAATTTTTTTTTCTTTTCGCAGTTGATCTACGAGGCTAACCCCAAGAAGAAGACCAAGAGCATTTACAAGGTACCGTCAACCCCGTGGTCTAAAAGTCGCGAGTGTACGTACGCGTAGGTTAGCGCCGTCGTGACCCAACGATCTCTTCTGTTTCTGTTTCTGTTTCCCGTCTCAGTCCAAAAACAGCCGTCCACTCAGGACGTCCCAGATCTACTCCCAGGACGACCACGCCACACAGATGCAGCTGTACAACGCCCGCTTCGAGCTGATGAAGATCATCGCCAGCAAGAGGAGCGCGCCCATAAAACCGCTGTGAGTTCGGACCCGGGAGGTCGAGTTCGGACCCGGGAGGTCGCGGTGACCTCGAACGCAGGTCAGACCACATGTTGATTCATTGATTTTTTTTTTTTTTTTTTTATATCTCCACAGTCTTGGACTCAATGCGTTCCAGAAGAATCCCAAACACGCCTCAGTCTTGGCAGAAAGGTGAGTTTTATTATCGATTTTTTTTTTTTTTTTTTAATGATTTTCATTTCGTCCAAAGGAAAACACAATTTGATTTTCTAAAAAAAAAAATTTTTTTTTTTTTTACTCCAGTGGGATCAGCTACGACAAACCTCTGCCACCGATTCAAGTGGCATCTCAACGAGCTGAGAGAATCGCCAAGGAGAAAAAGGTAAGAGGATTCACTGGATCCAGTGGCGGAACTGTTTGTTTCCCGCTCGTTTTTATTTTTATTTTATTTTTTTATTTATTTTATTTTATTATTTTATTTTTTTATTTTATTTATTTATTTTATTTTTTTATTAT